TGTGATCAGTGGCCCAGAACCCATTGTAAACCCACCCCAAAGCTTGGTGACGCTGAGGAAATTGAAACCGGTGGGGATGTTGAAACGATGCCGGGCATGAACCTGCCCTAAACGGAACCTGAACCCACCTCAACCTACCCAAAGCGTACCACAAACCTTGCCAAGCCTACCTGAAACCTTTACCCTGAATTGTAGACTGACATACCGCTCTTTCGTGCGCGCCAGGGTTGGGCTAAGGCCAGGGCTACGCAAAAACAAACTCCTCAGCCAGCTTTGGTTGGAACCCATGTTTGGGTATGGCAAACACCCATATCACGTTAACGCGGATGGAGAGTGGCCTGAGCCACATTGTGTTCACTTCCATTCTGTTAAGATTTTGATTTCCCCTGTTGGTTTTAAAGGGAATCTATCACTACTGTTTCTTTTTTCCAGGGGACTGAAGCAAACGGAGGTTCATTTTGAAAAGGAAACGCTGTTGGTCAACGGTCTCTCCAAAATGTCACCATTTCAAAAGACTCTAACACGAGCTTGGGGTGATGTTCTTGGTGGGCTTTATATAGACACTAAAAGAAACCTTGCCACGTAAGCCACAACTTCAGATTAAGGTTTCGGGGCAACCACAAACATGAAAGGTGTGCTGCTCTGGCTTACACGGACACCCATTGTACAGGGTTCCACCTTCATGGGCAAACCAGACCAGCCACGGTCCACATAAGCGGTTGCCTGATGGTCAGCGAAAATTCGTCAGCCTAGGTGTTGTGGGAAATGGGTGTCCTCCAATGTCCTCCCAAATTAACTGTAGACCTTCCATTTGTTTAAGCCCGAAAAGACCTGGACCTGGCATCCAAAAACCACCCGAAATCCGTAGACGTTCCTTCAAAGTCAACCCTTTGAAGCCAAAACCACCTGAAACTGCTTTCCTGTAGAAGTTCCTGCAAAGTCAACCCAGGAGAAAGCCCAAGTGGCCTCTCCCCTTCATCCCAACCAGCAACCCACCATGCTCCACGTGACCATGTGCCCCTGTGCCCATCTGATGGGAAACGCGGAAAAAGGGTTCCAGGGTTTCCATGCACTTGATAGTTTGTTTGTTCCTTTCAACATAGGCTTGGCTTTCGCCATCTTCCTGCCAGTCTACACCGGCCCGCCCAAAACGCCACTTATCCACATGGGCAATGGCCAAGCCGTTGTCAACCATTTTTGTGTACCCCGCTGAGAATATTGCACCGCGGGTTGAGAGAAATGCACTGGATGTGAATAGGGAACCTTGATGCACCGCGGTCGGCCAACTCTGTGACGAACTCCCTTTGAAAGGGAGTCCTGTAAGAAAAACAAGGGAGTCGGACAAAGTGCAAGAGCATACAACTTACGCAAGAGAAAGACTTTGAAGATCCCGAGCTCCCTCTTTGGCCGGCTTACGTGTTCTGCCCGCGCCTTCTTGAGCTTGCGCACTTCCTTGGCGGGCCCGCTCATCTCCTGAGGGCAAGTTGAGCATTGGGTTCCTTGCTTGGATTGAAGTTCCTTCTGTTTGCTGGCTGCACAGTCCCAAACGCATCCAATGCAGCAACCCAAGCGTATGGAAATGCCTCTGCAAGAGAGCGCCGAAGACACCGAGAGAGGGTTGGAAAAGGAGCGCAAGAGGGAGCATGGGTGTGTCTCAAATAGGGCAAGCCTCAAATTGGGTGATTTGCCTTTGGCTTGACTTTAAACCGCCGCAAAAAGGGTACCCAAAGAAACGACGGCCTCAAATAAAGAAAGGGGCAGGCAGGCAAGAGGCGATACCTTACAACAACATGCCATATGGCTGTGGGTCAAAATTTGGTACCCAAAATGGGTTGCCCTGGCAAATAGAACCAAGGACTAAAACCTGCGGTCCCCTGGTTGCTTAATTTTGACCCATACCCATATGAATCAGGGCCGCTAGTTTAGAAGTTTCTGAGCTGTGCGTCAGGATGAAAACAAGAACCCCGTCCCGACAGGTCGTCTTTGTGCTGTGTTCACTTGCCAAAAGCAGAGCGCCGTTGTTGGAGCAGGGTGTTGGCGCCATCAAAGGATAGGATGAGCGCTCAAGGCTCTTTCTGTGTGCTTCGCAATTCTATTTGCAGCCCCCCCACCCCCCCCCACCCACCCCCACGCCCCTCACCCAAACCAATTTGACAGTGGAGACACGCCCATGTTCAACAAACTGTTGGGCGCTTGCCCCAGCTCCCAACTGGCGACTCCTCGTGCTCCTGGAAGCGGACCAGGGAGGCTGCGGAGTTTTGGCCTCGTGAAAGAACGGGACCCCTTGGCTCAAAATGGCCTGTGGTGTTGCCATTTGTTTCTGGTTCTGCTTCCGCTTCCGCTTCTGCTTCTGCTTCTGCTTCTATTCATTCTTTGTCAGGAAACCACCACAAATGGGCCCCCCAAACCAGCCGAAGGGACTCTTTGAGGATTCCTTTGCACAGCCGAGTATTGCCGTGCAGGAATCTGACAACGCTGACAATACGCAATGAGCAGCTTTGGCTCATGCTTCTGAAACCAAAGAGATGGTGAATGCACCCACGATTTCCCCACCCTTTTATCAGCCAATTCTGGAGATCCAGGCCAAATCCCGGCCAAAAACAAATCATGGGGTGGCGCTGCGGTTGACTCAACCCATAGCAGAAGAGGATTCCCCAAGTACAAAGCAAGCAAAACCCAAACAAACACCCACACATGGGCTTCAAGCCTGAACGGAAAATCGACCATACCAAGCCCAAAGCATCCGAACAAAACATTCCATGTGCCACCATGGAAAACATCTTGACCAGCGCATTTAAAAAGCCATAAGCAAACACCAAGCAGGCAACTGGAAGAACCTTGTGTCAAAGGTCTTTGTCAGCTAGGAAGCATGGAGAAATGGCTGTGGGTCAATAAAAGGTACCCAATTTGGGGTGCCCTGGTAAATGGAAACATGGACTACCTGCGGTCCCTGAGTCCCAAATCTGTCAAGGGCTCTCAGCGGTATGACTCACCCCTCCCTGGTTTTGATGGACCACCAGCCACGGCAGTGAGTGTTTTCCACCTGAAAAATGAGTGAGGTCGGCGGTTTGTTGGTGGAAAATGTCGTGAGTCCATCATGGACCCTGTGTGTGTGTGTGTGCAGCATTTGATCAGCAGGGGGAACCGGTCAGTTCCGCCTCAGGCACCGGAAACTGGAAACCGAAAACTGGCAGATCCATTTGAGCAACCGTCCCCCTTCTACGGCTTGCTCGAGCTTTGCCCCTGAGCTGCTTTTTTCTGGTATCTCGGTGAGGAACACCTGCTTCTTCTTTGGTTGTGCTCCTTTGCTTGTTTTGTTTAAACAAGTACGCATTACAGTAATAATAATAGTAAGAAGAATAATAATAATAATAATAATAACAATAACAATAATAATAAAACTATGTTGTTGTTTCATGTTTCCTTCTTGGGGGGGGAGGAGGAGGGGGGAGGGGGAGGGGGGAGGGGGAGGGGGCGGGGGCGCGAGGGTACGCTTGCGCTAAGCGCCACGCAGAGCATCGCCATGGCCCGACCGCTCGGCCGCTCGGCTCGAGCCAAGCATCGACGCAGCAATGGACTCGCTCGATTTCAGGAACCCGGTTGGCTTGGGAAACCGAAACAGGAAACGCCACTCACTTGTTGTTTTGTTTGGGGCCGGGGGGGAAGCCTATTTGTTGCTTTTGTTTGTTTGGTGTGTGTATTTTGCTTTTTGTTGTTGGTGTTTTGGGGTGACCATGTTTCGATGCACATGTGCTCGTGTGGCATGCTGTTGCCCAACAGATATATGTCCACTGATGCTCAACCAAACTGACATAACCAACATGTGAAGCCTCCTGATCCAACGGGAAGGGTGTGTGCAATCTCGGGCCTATTTCTATAAACAACCTAAGCCCAGGAGGTATCCCCAACAGCCACCACCGGAACGTTCAGGAATCCAACCCGCAGTGGCTCTGAATGAATCTGAACCTCTCAAACCTCTCCAACACCTCCAGTCCACATCGGAACCCTTGAAACAACTGCTCCATACCACCAGGAACCGAATCCAGCAACGCTTCCGGAACCTTATCCAGCAACCGTCCCAGTGAAATCCCGGAAACTGCCAGAACACTCGGAACCCTAACCCTCTGGCACCTTCTTGAACTATCCGAAACTCCGCTCCATGGAACCCCGGAACCCTACCCCAGAGCTGCTCCGGACCACTCCGGTTTGAAAGCACGCAGGAGAGACACACAAAAACCTGCAGAGACGCACACGCAACCGCACAGAGACACACTGACACATCTGCAGAAACGCAAAGAAACACTGATAAACACAAAGAGACACCCACAAGCATGCACTCGCACACGCACTCACGAACGCACGAACGCACGCACGCACGCACGCACGCACGCACGCACAAACAAACAAACAAACAAACAAACAAACAAACAAACAAACAAACAAACAAACAAACAAACAAACAAAACAAACAAACAAACAAACAAACAAACAAACAAACAAACAAACAAACAAACAAACAACACACACAAAACACGCAAACACGCAAACACAAAGCCCAAACACAAACACAAGCACCAACACAAATTCGAAGACAAACACGAAAAAACACGAAAACACACAACTTGCAAACACACAAACTCACGCAAAGACACAAACACACAAGAAAATAAGAAACAAAACAAACACCAACCCAGGCCAACACAAAAACACAATAAACAACCGCACACACACACACACACACACTCACACACACACACACACACACACACACACACACACACACACACACACACACACACACACACACACACACGCTCACGCTCACGCTCACGCTCACGCTCACGCTCACGCTCACGCTCACGCTCACTCTCTCACACACACACACACACTTGCGGAGACGCAGGCGCAGACTCCCCCAATAATGTTTGGTGTTTTGTTTTTGATGTCCTTTGCTTTGCCTCCGGCAAGAAGGGACACGGGAGCTTCCGCGCTTCCCACGCCTGCCGTCATAGCCGCCAGCAGGCCCGCCGCACCGCCCCCCAGCCTGGCGCAGAGGCGCGTGGGACCAAGACAAAGGATCCATTCACAACAAAAGGTGAACGACCATGGCTCCAAAAAGCTCAGGTGATATCCCCAACAGCCTCTCTGGGCGTTTTGACCCCAAAGCTTTCAGCTGTGGGGTAAAGGCAAAAAAACGAATGGAGGCCCAGGCCTCTGGGAAGGATAGTTGGATCCCAGTGGTAAAGGGGGAAAGGAGTGTAGCCAAACTGAAACCAGTGGGATTCATGCTCGACCAAACTACTGATGCGCGCAGGCCTGACAACAGAAGGACAGGCTTTTGGAACCTTGGCTAGAAACACAATTTGAGGGCGGGAACCTAGGTGACCATTCTTACAAACATGGGCCCCTTTTTTCAGTCTTCCATCCCTTTTCAACAGGGATCCTTACATCATTACACCTGAACATTGCCTTGTCAATGGTGGGTGTCCCTCTATTTTGCCGGAAAAAGCAACATGTGTCAAACGGTGGCAAAACTCGAACTTCTTTTCAGGAGCCCTGCACAAAAAAAAGGAAAGAAAAACAAAGGGGCGCCACTGAACCACTGAGCCCTTGGCTTCCGTTTTGTTCAGCCGCTGCGGGGAAAAACTCCTTGGGCCCGTTGCGCGCTGCGGCAACTTGGGCCAGGCGGGCACCACGGCGCCCGTGGGCTCGCCGGGCTCGCCGCGCGCTTCGGCGGACTCGGCGCGGAGGCCTCGCCGGGAGTGGATGGGTACCTATGGCTGTGGGTCAAAAACAGGGTAACCCCAAAATGGGGTGCCCTGGATGTTTTTTCTAAAATCTGGGGTCCGCTGGTCAGTTAATATTGCAGCGAAATAGCAATTTGGCTGCTCAAAAAAGCGGTACCCAAATGGCACCTTGGGAAATGGAACCAAAGACTAGAACCTGCGTAAGCGCAGCTCTTTAATTGTGAGCCATACCCATTTCGGGGCCAGAAACCAAGAAGGCGAGCCTTGGGGGAGATTCGGAAAGACTCCTCCAGCCGCTGAAGGCACTTGCTGACACGCAAGAACAGGCAAAGCCTAGGGTGTGCAAAGGCTCAAATAACCTGGGCCGATCAGTTCAGCCGACCCAACCAGCTAAACTAGCTGACTCCCCAAAGACGGACCGCTACGGTGGGCGAGAGCGCTTCGCCGTAGAAGCCCTGTAAGCAAGCCTCCCGGTGGGGGCCAACCACATGGCAAACACCACTGCTCAAGCATGCTCCTGTAGGTACACCTTGTGCAACTTGTCTTTTGAGGGATCCACCGCAAATGGCTCCTTGCACCAAGTTTGGGCGAGGCTTGAAGGATATTGCATGCCACAAACAACCTCAATCTTGCAAAAAGCCCGAGGTATAAACTCCCTTTCACTGTTCCACACAGACATCCTGAACCAGCTTGGCCATTCTTGCTTCTGCAGAGTGTACCCAGGAACCTGAACTCTGACTCTGACCCCCTTTGTTCACAGAAAAGCCAAATGGGGAGAACAAGAAGCGGGAGAGTTGCCCCAGGGTTTGTTTCCATTGCATGTCAAAGGGACCCTAGATTGGACACTAGACTTAAACCAACAGGAAAGCCTCGCTTGCAGTCGTTTCTACATTAAAGTTGACCTCGAGAATTGGCCAAGTGGAAACCCACACACGCAGGTGTTTGTAGGATTCTTCAGATTTTTTTTTCCGGGCGGAACACCAGTGGGGGCTGCAATGAGTACCTATAGTATGCTATCATACCCCACCTCCTATGACTAGGTGACGCAAGAGCCCGAGCCGCTTTCTCTCGTGCTCAGGAAGATGTCTTGATTGAGCTCCAGGTATCAAAGTCAAACAATTCTGGGGGAGTTCAAAAGGCACCTGAGCCTTCCTGAAAACCCCTATGAGTTGGCTCTGTATACTTTGCCTATCCCTTACCAAAAAACATGCAAGCCAGAACGTGCAAGGATCGCCCGCACCCTGCGCCTCTGCGCTGGAGGGGCCGGTGTTCAGACCTTCCGCCTCACGAAACGCGCAAGAGTCCAGATTTTCTCGACCGGAAGTAAAGAATCCTCAAGGGAACTTTAGCGCAAGCTCGCTTCCCCCCGTTTTTCAGGTGAGCTCACAAGCTGTTTGCCCATCAAGATGTGAGTTCTTTGGAGCAGCATCCTTTGCTGGTCAAAGGAAAAGCCGATGCAAAGAGTTGAAACAACCAGGGCAGTGTCAACAGCTACGGACACAGTTGCAAATGCCATGAGAATGCAACACACTCAGGCTGTGTCTTGCAACCCTATCAATTACCTAGGATGACATCGTGACATGACCCAATGACTCAATGTGCTTCAAGATATCGAGGTGCTATCGATCCAACATGACACAGATCCCCAATGGGCGCAATCCTATTCCCACATGGAAACACCTTTGCAGCCCCTGAACATTCAAATTGAATACATGCTGCAGTCAGGAAGCAAGACAGTCAGGAAGCTCCATCTCAGTTTCCGCTCCCACGATCTGATACTCCCGGCGGACTGCTCCACTTTGCCTTGGGCGGTTTCCTGCACGTCCTCGAGCACCGATCGCGGCGATCCGGTCGCGAGTGCGGATGTGCTGAACGTATCCAGCTCTGCTACAAGAATCTGGGCGACAAATCCCAGCCCCGAAGCGCTCGCGAGCTCGGCCTTTTCCCCACCACGTGACTTGGGTGACCTGGGTGAGGCCCGCCGCTCCTTGGGGCCGTTTTTGGATTGCGGCACAATCTTCGCGGGCCAAAAAGGTGATGTTGAAGACCACCCTGGGCTGCCCTCAGAGCTAAAAGTTTAACTTTTAGTGGGTGAAATGGGAAACTACCACCAAACCAACTAAAAAGATCTAAGGCTAAACGGCTGCGGATGGCTGGGAGCCACCAAGTAGGGGGAATCTGGGGACCCCCTGAGATGTTTCTTCGGAACGCTTTCCCGATCCGCGCCTGAGAATAGTCCCCCGCATCCGGCACGGCATAGGGCGCCGGCATCCGAAAGCATAAGGCTCCCCAAGCGTGGCCAGTGGAGAAAGGGAGCCTGTTTTGGACGACATCAAATGGGGATTTGGCAGGGTTGTGGGAAATGACCACTTCTGTGATACAACAAAAAGGGCTTCCCAAAGACTAACACCCCATATACAGGGGGAGATTCCCTTGTATCACAGAAGTGGGAACAAACCCCTTGATTCCACAACTCTGGGATTTGGTGACTATGTCCAAAACAATTCAGCAAGAAAGGGAGTTGCGCAACTTGCTGAACTGTGCCGAAAACTCTCAGGTCCAGAATCTCATGCCAAAGGCGATGTTGTGTTCCTAAGGAACATGAGGCTCGTGTTGCATAGTCCCTTCACACTCGCTTTCAGCCTTCGTAGCTGCAACTTGGCTCGACTCCTCGAGGCCCTGAAAAGCAGCGGGTCTCAGAATTCCTCGCGTGTCCCTTTGAAACATCACGCCCCCCACAAGGAAACTCACTGGCAATTGGAACAATCATGGAAGTGAACACGGGGCTTCCTAAAAGTAGTCTTACAGAAAACCTCTCGTCAGCTTCCATGATTGTTGGAGGAAGGGTATATGAAGCACTGAAAGTATTCTGTGTTCCCAAGAGGACACGGGAACATCCCTACAACCGTGTATGTCTAGATAAAATATATGGATTACGACAAAGATCCTCGACATCACGAAGTTACTGGTCAGCGAACGCAGGCATCCAGTGGGGGACATCGTTTACAGGTACTTCTCTCTGGCATTCAACTGCAAATACATATCTTTCGCAAGGGCCGAATTAAACCTTGGTAGACATGGATATGTGGTCAACGTGAGCGCAATTATCGTGACCACTGACCCGGACAAGTGCGACGGACCCCTGCTTGATTGGTGCGTCCGGAAAGGACATTGGCTTGCAGAAGAACATCACAAGAAGTATGTCCGAGCACGAGAAGCCCAACACAATTTGGAGGAGGAGTTCCGTCGACGCATCACCAAGCTGGCCATTGTGGGCCGACCTATGTGATGCAGAAGTGGATCAACGTTGCATTTACGGCATGGTGCGGGCCGGACCCCATCCATCGCCAGCAATATATTGATTTCACTACGATGGGATGAATTATGGAATGAAGTGATTCGTCCAATGATCATGTTTATGTATGTATTTACATATTCCGACGGCTATGGCATTCCGGATATTCATGGACATACATTATTACCTCATGAATGATTTCGTTTCATTATATTTTCATGGTGTCTGGAATGAGTATTTTGCATACATATTGCTCGCCACTTTCTTTGCCGGTTATGTACGGGTGGCTTGTGATCACGCACTGCTCTGGATTTCTTTGGCCAACCCATTTCTATGGATGACAGCTGCGCGATACGCAAATGCGGCAGCTGGGATATCCGATGGCTGTGTTGTGGTGCAAGGCATAATGCCTCTGCCTCCGTGTATAAAGATGTATCACGATCTGCGGATGCATGTTTCGATTAAATCGAACTGGCTAAGTTTCATAATGAATGAATGGCGTTGCAATAGAGAATGAAAGAATGTTCGGCACACTTTCGTAATCGGAGCCGTGGCCATTGGGGCTTGTTGTGATATTTGGACCGCATGATGAACAATACAACCCAAATGGGGGATGTTAAAACCCTCCTGGCCCCGTGCCTAAATTGGGAAGCCGTTCTGAGGCACATGGTCTTGTTGATTAAAGTATTCCACTGGACGCCACATTTGGCTCAAATTACAAGTAGGGCTCAAGGTCTTGCATGAACAACGTTCGCCTGTGATCGATCAGTGAGTGAGAGAAAACAGGTTCAATCGCGCTGCTGATATCGGACATATATGTGGTTACTGGACATTACCCCTTACAATAGTTTGCACTGGTTTGGCTGTAACGATCTGGTCGTATACCCTTTCTATGTGATTGAGTACATTCAGCTTGGGGCTCGGCGTACAGCGTCCCGCGGGACGTCACCTTGCCATCTCTTGACGCCAACGAAGGCAACAAGGCGGTAAGTATGTCCCTTTTCTGCTTCTGCATCAACCCCAAGCCGTGGCAAGTGAGCTCGTCCAGCCGGTAATTCTCGCGCATGTGTGGTCTGAGGGACAACAATCAGAAGTCCTCCGTATTTCAGAATACGTTGAAAACCTGTGGAAATCGAACATTCGGAGCAGGGTTTGCTGCATACCAAGCCGCCGCACGAAAAGCATTATAAATAAAGTCTCCAAGACTCTTGGCTTGCAGTAGCAAGTATGGTTTAACCTCAAGTTGCTTAAGGATGGTATTGGAAACACCCTGACAAATTCGGCATTGCAACGCAACTAACGGGAACCACTGTGAGGTGTAAGCCTAAAGCTTCTCCTACATCACACAGCGTATGCTGAAGAGCATGATTAGGTAGCGAGTTGCCAATTGCAGCAGCAAGCTCATCGATCGTCAAGACGTGCGACATCTTTGGCAAGCGGAGGGTGGAGAGAAGCAACGTAGGGCAAGGTGCTAACTACGAAAGTCCCAACATGGGTTGCCCTGACAGCAACCGAGTGGTTGCCATCTGCCAGCGCAGCCAAGCGTCGTCCAACTGTGCGCATGTGGCTGCTTCGACGAGGGCTGTGTTGCCATTGGCACGCTTCCAACCATCAGGCGCAAGGCCAAAGCGACCATGCAGGATGAGCCCAAGTTGGGTGGTGCAGGGGCTGATAACACGCGCGCCGTACCCAATGTCATCCAGGGTTGCGCAGCCTCCAGCAGCAGAGGAATTGCTGATTGACCCGCACCGCTGCGCTGATGAGCCTCAGCTTCTGGGAGCTCACTCAGGTGCTGATTTGCATGTGTCGGCCTCGGGTCAGCTCCAACTTTGCCACCTATAGCAAGACCACAAACAGCCTGAGTGTCAAGAGACGGCAAGGTGACGTCCCGTGGGGACGCAGTCCACCGAACCCTCCAGCTGTAAATACCAACCACGTAGAAAGGTGTATACGGTCAAACCGTTATAGCCGAACCCGTGCAAATGTTGTAAGGGAGAAGGAATAATAGTTACAACAGTGGTCCTGACAAATGCAGCGCAAGCGAAGCGCTTTCCGCTCTCAACTGCCGATCACGTATGAACGCAGCTTCACATAAGATCTTGAACCTCACTTGTGACTTGAGCCAAATGGCAATCAATGGAACCTTGTAAGCAACACAAACACGGACCTCAGAACTGCTTCCCAATTTAGGCACGGGGCCAGGAGGGTTTTAACATCCCCCATTTGGGTCGCATTGTTCATCATGCAGTCCAAACACCACAAAACGTTCCAATGGCCACGGCTTCAGCTACAAAACTGTGTCGAACACTCTTTCATTCACTATTGCTACACCGTCCATTCATTGTGAAACTTGCCAGGTCCAATCAAGGCAGAAACATGCATCCACAAATCGAAGCCCATTCCAAAACTCAGCTGCAAGAGACATTTTGCCTCTGGCCAATACGCAACCACTTGAAATCCCGGCTGCCGCATTTGCGCATTGCGCAGCCGTCGCGCAGCCGTCATCCACAGAAATGGGTTGGCCATAGAAATCCATAGCAGCGCATGGTCGTAAGCCATCTGAATATCATCGGCAAAGAAGATTTGGTGAGCAATACATGCAAAACATAGCCATTCCAGGTACCATGAATAATATATATAATGAAAAGGAAATCATCCATGAGGTAATAGTTCCATCCATGAATATCCGGAATGTCATAGCCGTCGGAATATGTAAATGTATACACATTCATCTTGGACGCATGAAATCATATCATGATGTAGATTCGTTCCATCGCAATGACATTGATGAGACGCAAGCAGTAGATGGGGACTAGCCCGCATCGTGCCGCAATCAACATCGGAGTGAATATATGTGTTGCTGTTGGTGGGCGCACCACATCACATAAGCAATAATAATCCACATCTGCATTACGCATACCTGTCCCCAATGGACAGTCTGTGGGTACGTCGACGGAACTCTTCGTCCAAATTCTTTTGGGCTTCTCGTGCCCGGACACACTTCTTGTGATGATCTTCTGGTATCCAATGCCCCATTCGGAGGCACCAATCCAGCAGAGGTGTGTCGCATTTATTCGGGTCAGTGGCTGCAATAATGGCGCTCACATTTACCGAATAACCATATTTGCCAAGGTTCAAGCCTTCCCTTACGAATGATATATATTTACAATTGAAAGCCAGGGAGAAGCATCTGTAAATGATATCACCCGCCGGGCGCACGCGATCCTTGACCAGGAGCTTCATTTCGTCTTTGGTGATGTCGAGGATCTTCGCTGCAATCCACAACTTGTAAAATATGTATAGCCCCTCGCACTTGCATACCATCAGACGAATGTATTCATCACGCTCCTCAGCCGACCGGAAGGTCCTTGTCCGAACATTCTGAGATTGGCTAATCTTCAATATTGTTGACGGCAACAGGATCCCTTCCTGATCGTGCTCAGTCATGTTGGGGCACTTCTCGAAGTCGTTGTGGTATGGACAGCCTAGCTTCCCTTCGAGCGCGGCATCGATCGTTCTCTGTTCACCACCTTCGAACATCCCCCGCATCTTTGACATCTGCAGTGCGACGAATCCCGCCGTGTATTGAGCTTCGCGCGGCTCATCAAGGCAAATCGCCATCCGCTGGGTATTTATGATATCCCGCGATGTCAAGTCGTTGTCGCGGTATTGCCAACCGCCATCTTCTTCCTCAGACATGTAGCCGGACGTGTATCCTTGCGTGTCCATGTCATCTTCTTCAGGAACGTCCTCCGCCTCATCATCCTCTTCCTGTGCTGCCGCACCATGGTTGGCTTCGTCTTGCGCGCGCCTGGCATCACCCGAGACATTGGGACCTTGGTTGTCCCCGTCGTCGTCGGAACTGATGTGGATGTAGAATCTCCCGGTAGAGATCAATTGTGCTCCACATTCCAGGCACACACAGAAGCATGTGGGAATCGCGGTCGCACATGACGGACATATCCGGCACCTCAGTCCAGGATGACGACTTTGCT